ATGGAGATGATAGGGATGCTTGGGATAATGGGGGTGTAGGGAAGATGGGGGTCATGTGGATGATGGGGATGATGGAGGAGATGTGGATGATTGGGGTGATGGGGATGATGATGATGATGGGGATGAGGAGAATGATGTGGATGATGAGGATGATGGGTGTGATGGGGATGATGGAGATGATGGAGATGATGGGGTGATGGGGATGATGGGGGTGATGTGAATGATGGGGATGATGGGTGTGATGGGGATGATGGAGATGATGGAGATGATAGGGGTGAAGGGGTTGAAGGGGGTGAAGGAGATGATGGGTGTAATGGGGATGATGGAGATGATGGAGATGATCGAGATGATGGAGGTGATGGGGATGATGGAGATGATGGAGATGATAGGGATGATGGGGATGATGGGGGTGATGGGGATGAAGGGGGTGAAGGAGATGATGGGTGTGATGGAGATGATTGGGATGATGGGTGTGTAGGGAAGATGGGAGTGATGTGGATGATGGGGATGATGGAGGAAATGTGGATGATTGGGGTGATGGGGATGATGGGGTTGATGATGAGGGGAATGATGTGTCTGATGAGAATGATGGGTGTGATGGGGATGATGGAGATGATGGGGTGATGGTGATGATGGGGGTGATGTGGATGATGGAGATGATGGAGATGATTGGGATGATGGGGATAATGGGGGTGATGGAGATTATGGAGATGATGGGGATGATGGAGATGATGGAGATGATTGGGATGAATGGTGTGATGGGGATGATGGAGATGATGGAGATTATTGGGATGATGGGGTTGTAGGGAAGATGGGGGTGATGTGGATGATGGGGATGATGGAGGAGATGTGGATGATTGGGGTGATGGGGATGATGGGGTTGATGATGATGGAGATGATGGGGATGAAGGGGGTGATGGGGATGATGGGGATGATTGGGGTGATGATGATGCAGATGAGGGGGATGAAGGGGGTGATGTGGATGATGGGGATGATGAAGATGATGGTGATGAAGGGGGTGATGGGGATGATGGGGATAAAGGGGATGATGGGGATGAAGAGGGTGATGGGGATGATGGGGATGATTGGGGTGATGGGGATGATGGAGATGATGGAGATGATTGGGATGAATGGTGTGATGGGGATGATGGAGATGATGGAGATTATTGGGATGATGGGGTTGTAGGGAAGATGGGGGTGATGTGGATGATGGGGATGATGGAGGAGATGTGGATGATTGGGGTGATGGGGATGATGGGGTTGATGATGATGGAGATGATGGGGATGAAGGGGGTGATGGAGATGATGGAGGTGATGGGGATGACGTGGATGAAGGGGGTGATGGGGATGATGGGGGTGATGGGGATGATGGAGATGATGGAGATGATGAGGATGATGGGGTTGATGGGGTGTATGGGGATGATGGGGATGATTGGAGTGATGGGGATGAAGGGGGTGACGGAGTTGATGGAGGTGATGGGGATGACGTGGATGAAGATGTTGATGGGGATGATGAGGGTGATGGGGATGATGGAGGTGATCTGGATGACGTGGATGAAGGGGGTGATGGGGATGATGGGGTTGATGAGGGTGATGGGGATGATGGAGGTGATCTGGATGACGTGGATGAAGGGGGTGATGGGGATGATGGGGGTGATGGGGATGAAGGGGGTGATGGGGATAAAGAGGGTTATGGGGGCGATGTGGATGATGGGGATGATGGAGATGATGGAGATGATAGGGATGATGGAGATGATGGGGTTGTTGGGGGTGATGGGGATAAAGGGGATGATGGGGATGATGGGGATGATGGGGATGATAGGATTGGGATGATAGGGATGATGGGGTGATGGGGTGGTGATAAAGAGGGTTATGGGGGTGATGTGGATGATGGGGTTGATGGGGATGATGGAGGAGATGTGGATGATTGGGGTGATGGGGATGATGGGGTTGATGATGAGGGGAGGGGAATGATGTGTCTAAATGGGATGATGGGGATGATGGGGATGATGGAGATGATGGAGATGATGGGGATGATGGGATAATGGGGGTGTAGGAATGATGGGGGTGATGTGGATGATGGGGATGGGGTGATGGGGATGATGGATGATGGGATGATGGGGATGATGGAGATGTGGGATGTGGGATGATGAGGATGATGGGGATGATGGGATGATGGAGATGATGGAGATGATGGGGATGATGGGGTGATGGGGATGATGGAGATGATGGAGCTGATGGAGATGATGATGGGGATGATGGGGGATGATGGGGATGATGGAGATGATGGGGGATGATGAGGATGATGAGAGGGTGATGGAGATGATGGAGATGATGGGGATGATGGATATGATGGGGATGATGGGGATGGGGGTGATGGGGATGAAGGGGGTGATGGGGATGATGGAGGTGATGGGGATGATGGGGATGATGATGAAGGGGTGATGGGGATGATGGGGATGATGGAGATGATGGAAATGAAGGGGGTGATGGGGATGATGGGGATGATGGAGATGATGGAGATGATGGGGATGATGGGGATGGAGATGATGGAGATGATGATGGGATGATGGGGGTGATGGGGGTGATGGGGATGAAGGGGGTGATGGGGGTGATGGAGATGATGGGGATGATGGGGATGATGGAGATGATGGAGATGATCGATGATGATGATGATGATGGGATGATGGGGATGATGGGGATGATGATGGAGATGGTGACGGTGATGGCATATTTGTTATATTTGGATGGCACATTTGGCATATAAAAAAATGGTATATAGGGAAAATTGATTTATAAGGAAAATTGGTATATAAGGACATTTGGTATACCTCCGTCATTTCAGTTTACTTTGAAGGTTTATTAGGTTTTTTTTTTTTTTCAACAAATAAAAATGAAAAAACAACAATTAATTCCTTAATTAAAATATATTCTAATTCTTAATACATTTCACAATATATAAGAAATTAAAGTTATAACTCCTACATTATATTAAGAGCAATGATTTAAAATTACATAAAATTTTTACAATTTAATGATTTTTACCGTTCTTCTAGTACACGAATTGCTCAAAATGCTGTACCAACTCTATACTTAAGTATCTAAAGTAAGCAACTTCCCAAGTAGTTATAGGCACACAATACATACTACTTATATAAAAAGAATATAAATAATCAATTATATTTTATATATATAGATAATATTTAACATTATTATTGTTTTACTTTAGAAATTGGTGCTCATAATTAAAAATTAAAAAAAAAATTATTAAATTGAATATAATGAAATAGGTATACAAGTCATCTTAACATTTTTATATACTTACATGGTAGGTATATAGATTTGATCGATTTATAATGTGCAGTCTTTATTACCTTTTTTATCTAAATAAAGAAAAGTGCCTACAAACAGTATCGCAATATAACTACTTGTGTCACTTCTTGACATAGGTAAAACAAACACAAAGTGTTCTAAATATGCAGAGATTATAATTTCACTGGATAACTACAAACCAAAAAAAAGTCGTTTATTGTTTTTTATGTAATATAAGAATGACATTATTTAAATCAGTAAAAATTACTTTTCTGCCGGAAGTCACTATTAAGTATTAATAACCCGAAAAAAAACTGATAAGGGATGATAGGGGTGATGGGGATGAAGAGGGTGATGGGGATGAAGGGGGTGATGGAGATGATGGAAATGATTGGTGTGATGGGGATGATGGAGATGATGGGGATGAAGGGGGTGATGGGGGTGATGGGGATGATGGGGGATGGGGGGGGTGATGGAGATGATGGGGGTGATGGGGATAAAGCGATGGAGATGATGGGATGATGATGGGATGATGGGGATGATGATGGATGATGGGATGATGAAAGGGATGATGGGGATGATGGGATGGGGATGGAGATGATGGGGATGAGGGGGGTGATGTGGATGATGGAGACGATGGGGATGATGTGGATGATGTGGATGATGGAGATGATGGGATGATGGGGATGATGGGTGTGATGGAGATGATGGGGATGAGGGGGGTGATGTGGATGATGGAGACGATGGTGATGATGGAGATGATGTGGATGATGGATGATGATGAAGATGATGGGGGTGATGGCGATGATGGAGATGATGGGGGGGGGTGATGAGGATTGAGAGGGTGATGGAGATAATGGAGATCATGGGGATGATGGATATGATGGGGATGATGGGGGGGGATGGGGATGAAGGGGGTGATGGAGGTGATGGAGGCGATGGGGATGACGTGGATGAAGGGGGATGATGGGAGATGATGGGGATGATGGGGGATGGATGATGGGGATGATGGGGATGATGGAGATGATGGGGATGATGGATGATGGGGATGATGGGGATGGGGGGATGATGGGGATGATGGGGATGAAGGGGATGATGATGGGGATGATGGGGATGATGGGTGATGGGGGGATGATGGAGATGATGAAGATGATGGAGATGATGGGATGATGGATGATAGGGATGATGGGGGTGATGGGGATGATGGGGATGATGGGGATGATGGAGATGATGGGAGATGGGGATGATGGATGATTTGGATGATGGGGGTGTAGGGATGATGGGGGTGATGGTGGATGATGGGGATGATGGAGGAGATGGGATGATGGGGGTGATGGGGATGATGATGGAGATGATGGGGATGATGGGGATGAATGATGTGGATGATGAGGATGATGGGGTGATGATGGGGATTGTGGAGATGATGATGGGATGATGGGGTGAAGGGGGATGATGGGGGTGATGGGATGATGGGGAAGATGGATGGATGATGGATGATGGAGATGATGGGGATGATGGGGGGATGATGGATGATGATGGGGATGATGATGGGGATGATGGGGATGATGGGGATGATGGGGATGATGGAGATGATGGAGATGATGGGGATGATGGATGATGGAGATGATGGGGATGATGATGGGGATGATGGGGGATGGGGATGATGGGGGGTGATGGGGATGATGGGGATGATGGAGGAGATGTGGATGATTGGGGTGATGGGGATGATGGGGTTGATGATGATGATGGGGATGATGGGAATGTGTGTGTGATGAGGGGATGATGATGGGTGTGATGGGGATGATGGGGATGATGGAGATGATGGAGATGATGGGGTGATGGGGATGATGGGGATGATGTGGATGATGGAGATGATGGAGATGATGGGGATGATTGGGGATGATGGGGACGATGGGGATGATGGAGATGATGGAGATGATGATAGATGATGGGGGTGATGGCGGTGATGGGGATGATGGGGGTGATGGGGATGAAGGGGATGATGGGGATGATGGATATGATTTGGGGTGATGGGGATGAAGGGGCTGATGGAGATGATGGGGATGATTTGGGTGGAGATGATGGAGATGATGGGGATGATGGGGGTGATGGGGGTGATGGAGATAATGGGGATGATGGGGGTGATGGGGATGATGGAGGATGATGTGGATGATGGGGTGATGGGGGTGATGGGGATGATGGGGGATGATGGGGGTGATGGGGGATGATGGGGATGATGGGGATGATGGGATGTTGGGGGTGATGGGGATATGAAGCGGTGATGATGGGGATGATGGGGATGATGGGATGATGGGGATGATGGGGATGATGGGGATGATGGGGATGATGGGGATGATGGAGATGATGGGGATGATGGGGGTGATGTGGATGATGATGGGATGATGATGGTGATGATGTGGATGATGTGGATGATGGAGATGATGGGGATGATGGGGGTGATGGATGATGATGGAGATGATGGGGGTGATGATGGGGTGATGGGGATGAGAGATGGGTGATGGAGATAATGGAGATGATGGGGATGATGGATATGATGGGGTGATGGGGATGATGGGGGTGATGGGGATGATGGAGATGATGGAGATGATGGATGATGGGATGATGGGGATGATGGGGATGATGGGGGTGATGGGGTGATGATTATGGATGATGATGGGGATGATGGGGATGATGGGGATGGGAGATGATGGGGATGATGGGGTGATGGGATGATGGGGGATGGAGATGATGGATGATGGGGATGATGAAGGATGATGTGGATGATGATGGGGATGATGGGGATGATGGGGATGATGATGATGGGGATGATGGGGATGATGGGGATGATGGGGGTGATGGGGATGATGGGATGATGGGGATGGGGATGATGGGGATGATGGATGATGGGAGTGATGGGGATGGAGATGATGGGGGTGACGTGGGAAGAAGGGGATGATGGGGATGATGAGGGTGATGATGGGGATGATGGGGATGATGATGGGGATGATGGAGATGATGGAGATGATGGGGATGATGGGGTGATGGGGATGATGGGATGATGGGGATGATGGAGATGATGGGGGATGAAGGGGGATGATGGAGTTGATGGAAGTTATGGGGATGATGTGGATGATGATGGTTATGGGGGCGATGATGGATGATGGGGATGATGGAGATGATGGAGATGATGGGGGTGATGGGGATGAAGGGGGTGATGGAGATGATGGAGTTGATGGAAATGATAGGGATGATGGAGATGATGGGGATGATGGGGGTGATGGGGATGATGGGGATGATGGGGATGATGGGGATGATGGGGATGATGATGGATGATGATGGGATGGGGTGATGGGGATGATGGGGATGATGATGGGGATGATGGGGATGATGGAGATGATGGGGATGATGGGGATGATGATGGGATGGGGATGATGGGGATGATGGGATGATGGGGATGATGGAGATGATGGGGGTGATGGGGATGATGGGATGATGGGGATGATGGGGATGATGGAGATGATGGATGATGATGATGGATGATGGGGATGATGTGGATGATGGAGATGATAAAGATGATAAAGATGATGGGGATGATGGGTGTGATGGAGATGATGGGATGATGATGGGGATGATGGGGATGTTGGAGATGATGTGGATGATGATTGATGGGATGATGGGGTGATTTGGATGATGGGGGTGATGGAGATGATGATGATGATGATGGGGATGAGGGGATGATGGGGATGATGGGGATGATGGATGATGATGAGATGATGGAGATGATGGGGATGAATGGTGTGATGATGGGGATGATGGAGATGATGGGATGATGGGGAGATGGGGGATGATGATGGAGATGATGGAGATGATGGGGATGATGGATGATGGGATGATGGGGATGATGGGGGTGATGGGGATGATGGGGGTGATGGGATGATGGGGATGATGGGGATGGAGATGTGGATGATGGGGATGGGGATGATGGGGATGATGGGGATGATGGGGATGATGATGAGGGGAATGATGATGGGGGTGATGATGATGATGATGAGGATGATGGGGATGATGGGGATGATGGATGATGATGGAGATGATGGAGATGATGGGATGATGGGGATGATGGGGATGATGGAGATGATGGATGATGACGGTAATGGCATATTTGTTATATTTGGATGGCACATTTGGCATATAAAAAAATATAGGGAAAATTGGTATATAAGGAAAATTGGTATATAAAGACCTTTGATTTATAAGGAAAATTGGTATATAAGGACATTTGGTATACCTCCGTCATTTCAGTTTACTTTGAAGGTTTATTAGGTTTTTTTTTTTTTTTTTCAACAAATAAAAATGAAAAAACAACAATTAATTCCTTAATTAAAATATATTCTAATTCTTAATACATTTCACAATATATGAGAAATTAAAGTTATAACTCCTACATTATATTAAGAGCAATGATTTAAAATTACATAAAATTTTTACAATTTAATGATTTTTACCGTTCATTTAGTACACGAATTGCTCAAAATGCTGTAACAACTCTATACTTAAGTATCTAAAGTAAGCAACTTCCCAAGTAGTTATAGGCACACAATACATACTACTTATATAAAAAAAATATAAATAATCAATTATATTTTATATATATAGATAATATTTTACATTATTACTGTTTTACTTTAGAAATTGGTGCTCATAATTAAAAATTTTAAAAAAAATGATTAAATTGAATATAATGAAATAGGTATACAAGTCATCTTAACATTTTTATATACTTACATGGTATATATGTAGATTTGATCGATTTATAATGAGCGGTCTTTATTACCTTTTTTATCTAAATAAAGAAAAGTGCCTACAAACAGTATCGCAATATAACTACTTGTGTCACTTCTTGACATAGGTAAAACAAACACAAAGTGTTCTAAATATGCAGAGGTTATAATTTCACTGGATAACTACAAACAAAAAAAAAAGCCGTTTATTGTTTTTTATGTAATATAAGAATGACAGTGTTTAAATCAGTAAAAATTACTTTTCTGCCGGAAGTCACTATTAAGTATTAATAACCCGAAAAAAAACTGATAAGGGATGATAGGGGTGATGGGGATGAAGAGGGTGATGGGGATGAAGGGGGTGATGGGGATGAAGGGGGTGATGGGGATGATGATGGATGATGATGATGGTGATGATGGAGATGATGGGGATGATGGGGGTGATGGGGATGATGGGGATGGATATGATGGGATGATGGGGATGATGATGGGGATGATGGGGATGATGGGGATGATGGGGATGGGGTGATGGATGATGGAGGGAGATGATGATGATGGATGATGGGGATGATGGGGATGGATGTGATGATGGGATGATGGGGGGGATGGGGATGATGATGGGGATGATGGGGATGATGATGGATGATGGGGGTGATGATGATGGGATGATGGGGGATGGAGATGATGGAGATGATGGGGATGATGATGATGGGGGGATGATGATGGGGATGATGGAGATGGAGATGGGAGATGATGGAGATGGATGATGGGATGATGGGAGATGATGGATGATGGGGATGATGGGGATGATGGAGATGATGGAGATGATGGGGATGATGGGGATGATGGGGATGATGGGGATGATGGGGATGATGGGGGGGGGATGGGGATGATGGGGATGATGGGGGATGATGATGGGATGATGGATGGGGATGATGGGGATGATGGATGATGGATGATGGGATGGATGATGGGATGATGGGGATGATGGGGATGATGGGGGTGATGGGGATGATGGGGATGATGGGGATGATGGGATGAAAGGGGTGATGGATGATGAGGGGTATGATGGGGATGATGGATGATGGGGATGGAGATGGGGATGATGGGGGTGATGGGGATGAAGGGGATGATGGATGATGGGGATGGAGATGATGGGATGATGGGGATGATGGGATGGGGATGGGGATGATGGGGATGATGGATGATGGGGGTGATGGAGATGATGGGATGGGGGGTGATAGGGATGGGGATGATGGGGGATGATGGGGATGATGATGGATGATGGGGATGATGATGGGGATGATGGAGATGATGGAGATGATGATGATGATGGATGATGATGATGGGGATGATGGGGATGATGGGGATGATGATGGGATGATGGGGTGATGGGGATGATGGATGATGGGTGTGATGGGGATGATGGAGGGATGGAGATGGAGATGATGGGGATGATGATGGGGGGATGGGGATGATGGGGATGATGGGGATGGGGATGATGGGGGTGATGGGGATGATGGGGCTGATGGATGATGATGGGGATGATGGGGATGATGGGGATGATGGGGATGATGGGGATGATGGGGATGATGGGGGATGATGGGGATGATGGGGATGATGGAGATGATGGAGATGATGGGGATGATGGGGATGATGGGGGGATGATGGGATGATGGGGTGATGGGGGTGATGGGGATGATGGAGATGATGGGATGGGGATGATGGGGTGATGATGATGGGGATGTGATGGGATGATGGGGATGATGGAGATGATGATGAGATGATGGGGATGATGGGGATGATGGAGATGATGGAGATGATGGGGATGATGGGGATGATGGGGGGGATAATGGGGATGAAGGGGGTGAATGGAGATGATGGGGATGATGGAGATGATGGGGATGATGGGATGGAGGTGTGTTGGGATGATGGGGGGGGATGATGGGATGATGGGGATGATGGAGGAGATGTGGATGATTGGGGTGATGGGGATGATGGGGATGGGGATGATGGGGATGATGATGAGGGGAATGATGTGTCTGATGAGGATGATGGGTGATGGGGATGATGGATGATGATGGATGGGGATGATGGGGATGATGGGGATGATGGGGGTGATGAGGATGATGGAGATGATGGGATGATGATGGGGATGATGGGGATGATGGGGTGATGGGGGGATGATGATGGGGGGGATGATGGATGATGGAGATGATGAGATGATGGAGATGATGGGGATGATGGGGATGATGGGGGGATGGGGATGGGGATGATGATGGAGATGATGGAGATGGTGGTGACGGTGATGGCATATTTGTTATATTTGGATGGCACATTTGGCATATAAAAAAATGGTATATAGGGAAAATTGATTTATAAGGAAAATTGGTATATAAGGACATTTGGTATACCTCCGTCATTTCAGTTTACTTTGAAGGTTTATTAGGTTTTTTTTTTTTTTTTCAACAAATAAAAATGAAAAAACAACAATTAATTCCTTAATTAAAATATATTCTAATTCGTAATACATTTCACAATATATAAGAAATTAAAGTTATAACTCCTACATTATATTAAGAGCAATGATTTAAAATTACATAAAATTTTTACAATTTAATAATTTTTACCGTTCTTCTAGTACACGAATTGCTCAAAATGCTGTACCAACTCTATACTTAAGTATCTAAAGTAAGCAACTTCCCAAGTAGTTATAGGCACACAATACATACTACTTATATAAAAAAAATATAAATAATCAATTATATTTTATATATATAGATAATATTTTACATTATTACTGTTTTACTTTAGAAATTGGTGCTCATAATTAAAAATTAAAAAAAAAAAAAATTTAAATTGAATATAATGAAATAGGTATACAAGTCATCTTAACATTTTTATATACTTACATGGTATATAGATTTGATCGATTTATAATGAGCGGTCTTTATTACCTTTTTTATCTAAATAAAGAAAAGTGCCTACAAACAGTATCGCAATATAACTACTTGTGTCACCTCTTGACATAGGTAAAACAAACACAAAGTGTTCTAAATATGCAGAGATTATAATTTCACTGGATAACTACAAACGAAAAAAAAGTCGTTTATTGTTTTTTATGTAATATAAGAATGACAGTGTTTAAATCAGTAAAAATTACTTTTCTGCCGGAAGTCACTATTAAGTATTAATAACCCGAAAAAAACTGATAAGGGATGATAGGGGTGATGGGGATGAAGAGGGTGATGGGGATGAAGGGGGTGATGGGGATGATGGAATGATGGATTGATGGTGATGGGGATGATGGAGATGATGGGGATGAAGGGGGTGATGGGGATGATGGAGATGATGGGGGATGAAGGGGGTGATGGGGGCTGATGATGGATGATGGAGATGATGGTGATGAAAGGGGTGATGGGGATGATGGAGATGATGGAGATGATCGAACTGATGGAGATGATGAGGATGATGGGGTGTATGGGTATGATGGGCATGATGGGGGTGATGGGGATGATGGGGGTAATGTGGATGTTGGGGGTGTTGGGGATAAAGCGTGTGATGGGGATGATGTGGATGATGGAGATGATAAAGATGATGGGGATGATGGGTGTGATGGAGATGATGGGGATGAGGGGGGTGATGTGGATGATGGAGACGATGAGGATGATGTGGATGATGGAGATGATGAAGATGATGGGGGTGATGGGGATGATGGGGATGATGGGGGTGATGAGGATTGAGAGGGTGATAGAGATAATGGAGATCATGGGGATGATGGATATGATGGGGATGATGGGGGTGATGGGGATGAAGGGGGTGATGGAGATGATGGAGATGATGGATTTGATGGGGATGATGATGATGATGGAGATGATGGGGATGATGGGGTGATGGATATGATGGGATGATGGGGGGTGATGGGGATGAAGGGGCTGATGGAGATGATGGAGATGATGATAGGGATGATGGGGGTGATGGGGATGATGAAGATGGGGATGATGGAGGATGATGGAGATGATGGGGATGATGGGGGTGATGGGGGTGATGGGGATGATGGAGATGATGGAGATGATGGAGATGATAGGGATGATGGGGATGATGGGGGTGATGGGATGAACTGCGTGAAGGGGGTGAAGGAGATGATGGGTGTGATTGGGATGATGGAGATGATGGAGATGATCGAGATGATGGTGGTGATGGGGATGATGGAGATGATGGAGATGATAGGGATGATGGGGATGATGGGGGTGATGGGGATGAAGGGGGTGAAGGAGATGATGGGTGTGATGGAGATGATTGGGATGATGGGGGTGTAGGGAAGATGGGGGTGATGTGGATGATGGGGATGATGGAGGAGATGTGGATGATTGGGGTGATGGGGATGATGGGGTTGTAGATGAGGGGAATGATGTGTCTGATGAGGATGATGGGTGTGATGGAGATGATGGAGATGATGGAGATGATGGGGTGATGGGGATGATGGGGGTGATGTGGATAATGGAGATGATGGAAATGATGGAGATGATGGAGATGATGGGGATGATGGGGGTGATGAGATGATGGAGATGATGGGATGATGGGGGATGATGGGGATGATGATGGGGGGGATGGGGATGATGAGGGTGATGGAGATGATGGAGATGATGGGGATGGGGATGATGGGGATGATGGGGGTGATGGGGGATGATGGAGATGATGGGGATGGGATGATGATGGGGATGGGGGATGATGGGGGTGATGGGGGATGATGGGGATGGGGGTGATGGGGGTGAAGGGGGTGATGGGAGATGATGGGTGTGATTGGGATGATGATGGAGATGATGGAGATGATGGAGATGATGGTGGTGATGGGGATGATGGGATGATGGAGATGATGGAGATGATGGGGGTGATGGGGATGATGATGGGATGATGGGGATGAATGGGGGGGGTGATGGGGATGAAGGGGGATGGGGTGATGATGGAGATGGATGATGGATGATGGGGATGATGGGATGATGGGGTGATGGGATGATGGGGGATGGATGGGGGTGGGGATGATGGGGGGATGATGGGATGATGGGGATGATGGAGGAGATGTGGATGATTGGGGTGATGGGGATGATGGGGTTGATGATGAGGGGAATGATGTGTCTGATGAGGATGATGGGTGTGATGGAGATGATGGAGATGATGGGGTGATGGGGATGATGGGGGTGATGTGGATAATGGAGATGATGGAAATGATGGAGATGATTGGGATGATGGGGATGATGGGGGTGATGGAGATTATGGAGATGATGGGGATGATGGAGATGATGGAGATGATTGGGATGAAAGGGGTGTAGGGAAGATGGGGGTGATGTGGATGATGGAAATGATGGGGGTGATGGGGATGAAGGGGCTCATGGAGATGATGGGGATTATGGAGATGGTGGAGATGATGGGGATGAAGGGGGTAATGGGGGTGATGGAGATGATGGGGATGACGGGGGTGATGGGGATGATGGGGATGATGGGGATGATGGAGGAGATGTGGATGATTGGGGTGATGGGGATGATGGAGATGATGGAGATGATGGAGATGATGGGGTGATGGGGATGATGGGGCTGATGATGATGGGGATGAGGGGAATGTGTGTGTGATGAGGATGATGGGTGTGATGGGGATGATGTAGATGATGGATATGATGGGGTGATGGGGATGATGGGGGTGATGTGGATAATGGAGATGATTGAGATGATGGAGATGATTGGGATGATGGGGATGATGGGGGTGATGGGGATGATGGAGATGATGGAGATGGTGACGGTGATGGCATATTTGTTATATTTGGATGGCACATTTGGCATATAAAAAAATGGTATATAGGGAAAATTGATTTATAAGGAAAATTGGTATATAAGGACATTTGGTATACCTCCGTCATTTCAGTTTACTTTGAAGGTTTATTAGGTTTTTTTTTTTTTTTCAAATAAAAATGAAAAAACAACAATTAATTCCTTAATTAAAATATATTCTAATTCGTAATACATTTCACAATATATAAGAAATTAAAGTTATAACTCCTACATTATATTAAGAGCAATGATTTAAAATTACATAAAATTTTTACAATTTAATAATTTTTACCGTTCTTCTAGTACACGAATTACTCAAAATGCTGTACCAACTCTATACTTAAGTATCTAAAGTAAGCAACTTCCCAAGTAGTTATAGGCACACAATACATACTACTTATATAAAAAAAATATAAATAATCAATTATATTTTTTATATATAGATAATATTTTACATTATTACTGTTTTACTTTAGAAATTGGTGCTCATAATTAAAAATTAAAAAAAAAATGATTAAATTGAATATAATGAAATAGGTATACAAGTCATCTTAACATTTTTATATACTTACATGGTATATAGATTTGATCGATTTATAATGTGCGGTCTTTATTACCTTTTTTATCTAAATAAAGAAAAGTGCCTACAAACAGTATCGCAATATAACTACTTGTGTCACTTCTTGACATAGGTAAAACAAACACAAAGTGTTCTAAATATGCAGAGATTATGATTTCACTGGATAACTACAAACGAAAAAAAAGTCGTTTATTGTTTTTTATGTTATATAAGAATGACAGTGTTTAAATCAGTAAAAATTACTTTTCTGCCGGAAGTCACTATTAAGTATTAATAACCCGAAAAAACTGATAAGGGATGATAGGGGTGATGGGGATGAAGAGGGTGATGGGGATGAAGGGGGTGATGGAGATGATGGAAATGATTGGTGTGATGGGGATGATGGAGATGATGGGGATGAAGGGGGTGATGGGGATGATGGGGATGATGGGGGTGATGGGGATGATGGGGGTGATGTGGATGTGGGGGTGGGTGATGGGGATAAAGCGTGTGATGGGGATGATGTGGATGATGTGGATGATGGAGATGATAATGATGATGGGGATGATGGGTGTGATGGAGATGATGGGGATGAGGGTGGTGATGTGGATGATGGAGACGATGGGGATGATGTGGATGATGTGGATGATGGAGATGATGAATATGATGGGGGTGATGGCGATGATGGAGATGATGGGGGTGATGAGGATTGAGAGGGTGATGGAGATAATGGAGATCATGGGGATGATGGATATGATGGGGATGATGAGGGTGATGGGGATGAAGGGGGTGATGGAGATGATGGAGGTGATGGGGATGACGTGGATGAAGGGTGTGATGGGGATGATGGAGATGATGGGAATGAAGGGGGTGATAGGGCTGATGGGGATGTGGAGATGATGGTGATGAAGGGAGTGATGGGGATGATGGTTGTAATGGGGATTATGGAGATGATGGAGATGATGGATTTGATGGGGATGATGATGATGATGGAGATGATGGAGATGATGGATGATGGGTGATGGGGATGATGGGATGAAGGCTGCTGATGGAGATGATGGAGATGATGGGGGTGATGGGGATGAAGAGGGTGATGGAGATGATGGACATGATCGAGATGATGGAGGTGATGGGGGGATGATGGAGATGATGGAGATGATGGAGATGATAGGGATGATGGGGATGATGGGGGTGATGGGGATGAAGGGGGTGATGGGGGTGAAGGGGGTGATGGAGATGATGGAGATGATAGGGATGATGGGGATGATGGGGGTGATGTGATGAAGGGGGTGAAGGGGGTGAAGGAGATGATGGGTGTGATGGGGATAATGGAGATGATGGAGATGATCGAGATGATGGAGGTGATGGGGATGATGGAGATGATGGAGATGATGGGATGATGGGGATGATGGGGATGATGGGGGTGATGGGGATGAAGGGGGTGAAGGAGATGATGGTTGTAATGGGGATTATGGAGATGATGGAGATGATGGGGATGATTGGGGTGATGGGGATGAAGGGGCTGATGGAGATGATGGAGATGATGGGGGTGATGGGGATGAAGTGGGTGATGGAGATGATGGAGATGATGGGGATGATTGGGATGATGGGGGTGATGGGGGTGATGGAGATGATGGAGATGATGGGGATGATGGGGATGGGGGGATGATGGGGATGATGGGGATGATGGAGTTGATGGGGATGATGATGGAGATGATGGGGATGATGGGGATGATGGGGGTGATGGGGATGATGGGGGGATGATGAAGGGGGTGAAGGGGGTGAAGGATGATGGGTGATGGGGATGGGGATAATGGAGATGATGATGAGATGATGGAGATGATGGAGGTGATGGGGATGATGGAGATGATGGAGATGATGGGATGATGGGGATGATGGGGGTGATGGGGATGAAGGGGTGAAGGAGATGATGATGGTTGTGATGGGGATGATGGGGATGATGATGGGATGATGGAGATGATGGGGATGATGGGGGTGATGGGGATGAAGGGGCTGATGGAGATGATGGAGATGATGGGGGTGATGGGGATGAAGTGGGTGATGGAGATGATGGAGATGATGGGGATGATTGGGATGATGGGGGTGAAGGGGGTGATGGAGATGATGGAGATTATGGGGGTGATGGGGATGATGGGGATGATGGAGTGATGATGGAGATGATGGAGATGATGGGGATGATGGGGATGATGGGGATGATGGGGGTGATGGGGATGAAGGGGGTGATGGGGATGATGGGTGTGATGGGGATGATGGAGATGATCGAGATGCTTGGGATAATGGGAGTGTAGGGAAGATGGGGGTCATGTGGATGATGGGGATGATGGAGGTGATGTGGATGATTGGGGTGATGGGGATGATGATGATGGGGATGATGGAGATGGTGACGGTGATGGCATATTTGTTATATTTGGATGGCACATTTGGCATATAAAAAAAATGGTATATAGGGAAAATTGGTATATAAGGAAAACTGGTATATAAAGACCTTTGATTTATAAGGAAAATTGGTATATAAGGACATTTGGTATACCTCCGTCATTTCAGTTTACTTTGAAGGTTTATTAGGTTTTTTTTTTTTTTTTTCAAAAATAAAAAAAAAAAAAAAACAATTAATTCCTTAATTAAAATATATTCTAAGTCTTAATACATTTCACAATATATAAGAAATTAAAGTTATAACTCCTACATTATATTAAGAGCAATGATTTAAAATTACATAAAATTTTTACAATTTAATGATTTTTACCGTTCTTCTAGTATACGAATTACTCAAAATGCTGTACCAACTCTATACTTAAGTATCTAAAGTAAGCAACTTCCCAAGTAGGTATAGGCACACAAAACATACTACTAATATAAAAAAAATATAAATAATCAATTATATTTTATATATATAGATAATATTTTACATTATTATTATTTTACTTTAGAAATTGGTGCTCATAATTAAAAATTAAAAAAAAAAAAGATTAAATTGAATATAATGAAATAGGTATACAAGTCATCTTAACATTTTTATATACTTACATGGTATATAGATTTGATCGATTTATAACGTGCGGTCTTTATTACCTT